GCTGCTGCTCTCTGCACTGCAGGGGTTTATCTTCAGCTTTTGCATGAAGGTTTCATGGGTCTGGAAAGTTTCTCCAGCAACCAGCACGTGGACTTTCATTGGGGAAGAAAAAAAGAATTTTAAAATAATTTACAACTCTTGTGAACAGGAAGGGCATTTTTCACCTTGGATGATATTCTGTGAAGTAACTGGAACATAATTAAACAGGATATGACACGATGATCAGTTCTGGAATTTAGTTGTAAAATACAGAAACAGACTTTTGTTGAAACTGACTAAAAGTGATCTAATTAAAATGTAAGATGTCAAACTTGAGAATCGCCGGACAACTTACCTGGAATGGAATCATGCAGAATGTCATAGTTATTGTTGGAAGAGGGACAACAACAACATAGGCAACAAATCGCACGCCACAAGCAGCAAAAAAAATCTGTAAAATATTTGCATCCTAAGTCAGTTGTAGTATAGAGGCAAATGCTATTTAGACAACTCTGCAGGAAGTGATGGAGGAGAATCTATTAATAACTATGTATAGATGTATGAAGTTATGTAATATTATGTAAAGTGTATGAAGCGGAATCCACTAGGTCTAAAAGGAAGTGACCCCTCTTGGTCACCGTACAGCTGAAACTTGATTTTATTAAGACTGCGCTCTCTGCATAGGACTGATCACATTTACCTTCAGGCAGTGGGCCAGTGGAGAGAATGCAGTGCTGAGATTGTTTCCAGCAATAAAAATCCTGAACTGTATACATACCTCTGCTGTTTTACACGTAGCATCCTCAGTCTGGGTTTTTTACGTTACAAAAACAAAATGCTGCATTTCTTATACTACAGCATTGCCTTTAACCAATAATATGTATTTTTGGATCAGTAGTTATGATCCTCTTGCTTGGAATATTTATTTCTATCTTTGGACACATTATGCTCCTGTCCACCTGTCCACTGGCTTTAGAGGTTACTGTCTGTATGCATGTACCTGTAGAGTTCACTCAGGCCCCAAAACTCCCTTTACCTCCAGAGTGGGCAGTGAAATGTTCCATTGTGTGTGGAGTGGTGGCTCTGAGGCTTGAGATCTGTGCCAGCTATTGGAAGGTTGCTGGTTCAAATCCTGTGAATGCCCATAGTGATTCTGCTCCATTGAGCGCTTGAGCAAGGCCCTTAACCTGCAATTGCTTTGCCCTGGTATGATGTTAATCTACATCCAGCCCTGTAAGGAGGTCCTCCAACTTACAGGGAAAAACTTGGGGTTGGTGGCAGGATTGGCACTGCAGCCACTGGGGGAAAAAAATTCACACTGGTCCATTTGGACCAGTGTGGTGCTGAGGTATCACCTGCCCCATGGCTGCATTCTGGTTCTTATCCCTGAGGTGGTTTGTTGTGTGATGGGTGTGGCAACGCACTGTAATCACTGCATGCTCCTTACCTCCTCCTGATGCAACCTTCCCCTGGTCACTCTTCCCAAACACTGGCTTGGGGCCCTTCCTCTGAAACTTTTTGGCATCCACAGTATCTATTGGTTTCTGCTCCATCTCCGGTTGGGTGGGATGGACCTTGGATTGTGGGACCCCAGCATGTAAATCACCATACCTGCAGAGTGGATGTAACAAAATACATGCATAATAATACACTGTTACATAATTTCCCAATTGTTAATTTTGAAGGTCAACAATAATTATCTGCTAGATCTATACATAGTGGTGTATTATATACTGATAGATTTCTTAAGTGAAACCTCAGGTTCTTATAGTTGAATGATGAGGAAGGTTCCTTAAGCTTAAGCAGTTTACTAAGACACAATGAAGATGTTACAGAAAGATGTGTCACACGGCCGGTTCAGTGTCTATCTGGGTCTGACTCAGCCATGGGCATAAATTACGGGGGGGATGGGGGGGTTGTAGCCCCCCCAATAAATCAAAACCAGCTAATACAACCCCCCCAATAATCATGTTTTCCCCATAATGGGTGGAGACCTCAACCCCCCCAATGTTCCAGCCAAAGTTACGGCCTTGGACTCAGCCCCCCCTGAGGGCAGCAGGCCCTTTATCTGTGGTCTTCATACAGACTACTGGGGCCGGGGGGGTCAGACGGCCTTGGTGAGAGTAAGTTGTATGAGAGGCAAAGAAGATGATGAGCAAGTAGGAAGGACAGAAAGAAATATAAAAATAAGAAATATGAAAGCTATAAACGAATGAACTAAATTAGCATAATTAAATAACTACAAATTAACTAGGGAAATCCCTTAATACTTTATAAATATACATATAGATACAGAAATACATAATATATACATATAAAATATATATGTAGATACACATAAACATAATGTATAATAGATACATGCAAAAATAATAAAGTTACATCAGCAATATTTTCTACTAAATTTTTCAGCTATACACAATACATTTTAGATGCTAGATATTCTCCTGATACATATTGATGATCTGTAAAATTAGTAATTTGTTAGAGTTTTTTATTAGCGTTTAATCTTTTATACTGTGATTTTTATATCATATATACCAGGGCTGTGGAGTCGGAGTCGGAGTCGAGGAGTCGGAGACAATTTTGGGTACCTGGAGTCGGAGTCGGCAAAAAGTTAACCGACTCCGACTCCGACTCCTACTAAATTTAAATGGGAATTAATGTCCCAATTCACAAACAGTCATAATGAACTACTTCTCTGCTGTAAGAATAAAGCCCAATGCAGGCAGTGCATAATGTTACCACAAAACGAACATGTCAAGTAACCATGAAGC